CGGGGGGGGGGGGGACAAAAAATAGGAAAGAAAGGATGTTTAGTTGTGAAAATTATATGGGGTTTTGTTTGGAGTCTCTTTACACTTGTAGGCTACATGAGGCCATTCTAGGCCATCAACAGTGTTCACTGTGCAGATGTAATACCAGGCAAACTGTTTACCTTAACTGAAATCAGTCTTGGTTTCTCAAACTGCTGTACTATCGAAGATGTGAAGGAGGCTTATCCCTTACTGGACATGGTGGACCATGCTAACAGAGTGCAAGTGGTGAGTCTGTCTTCTGATGGAATTCATTTTCTCCTATGAGAAAGGGATTATTTTAATTTCAAATTTCTTTTGTATTTCAATGCTATTGGTTTAATCTTTGATATCTTGTTCTCCAATTTCTCTTACTTCAGAAATGTTCATCTTGTCAAGCTTTCAGTAAACATGAGTCTCGTCCTTTCCTGGTTTTCATAGTGTGAAGAGGAATTGTCTGAAGAGATAATAGTTTTTAATACTTAATCGTCTTATGGGCAGGAGGTTAAAGCCTCTAGCAGGTTTACCTCTTCGTATTCCTTAGGCCACTTACAACTAGAGAAAGTCTATTATAGTGTAATGCAGGCCATTTTGCTGTATTTTCATTTAGTTTTCAAGCTTTGTTCTGTTTATAAAAGTTCAAACTGCTGAATATGATTCAAAATATTTAATGTTGTGGCTATATCCTGGGCTAAAATGGCCTCCCTAAAGTGAGGTGAAAGGATTGGGATTTTTGCAATGTTTCTTTTCTTGCTATTATTTGTTCAGAGATGCTTTTAATAAAGAAGTTCTTTTACTTTGTATTAATTTCAGTCCTTATGTTTTTCAGGCTAAGCATGGCTACACAGAGAATCCCAACTTTCCCAAAATTGATGGTAAGTATTGATGAAGTAAATTAAAGTGTTTTCTTCTGTGTGCCATATTTTGGGGAGGGTCACCGTCTACTTAATCGTGTGAAAAATTAATGGTAAATGTTGTTTATCCAGGCTATTGATCCATTTTAATTTCTACTCTATTTTACTAATCTGTTGAAGTAAAAGATGATACTCATATTTCTACATATATTACTTTCAGGTTCCTATATTTCTTTCATGACATTTGTTAAGTTTTTGCAGCAATATAATGCAGCTGCGTTATGTGTAGACCAATAAGAATAATATGATTTAACATTAGTAAATATATGATACATCTTGTGTGATGACTTTTAAGAACTCTGCATCTGCATATTTTCCTAATGAAGCATTTTCGTTGTATTTTTCAGTTGTGCTTCTCATCGGAGAACCATGCCGGTGGGAGTCAGATCTTCAACTCTTGATCGACTTGCTGCTGACTGAGGGCAAACCAACCGCTGCCCCAAAAGACCCTCACAATGTTCCTCAAATCCCCATCATTGCCTGCAACATGGACCTCGTTTTCATGGCTGAAGCTTGCATGCCCCGATTTGGTCATGGCGCTTTCCTCCTGTGTCTAGAAGCTCTGTACAAGGTAAGAAAATCACAACAGAGGTTCTAGTTTGTAAAGTTTTTGGGATGTGGGGTGGTGTTCTTTTTAGCTTGATGCTTTTAATGGTTTTTAGCCGTAAATGCATTTTCTGATTCACTCAGTAAAGAATCCTTTGACTGTTAATGATGAACTGGAAAGTGCTTTTAGAACTTTCCCTTTAGCAGAGGTATTTATGCACTATGGTAATGAGGTCTTTTAAATATCATGACTATTCATAATCTACAAGTGCCTTTTGTTAATTATCATTCTTACTTTTCAGGAACTTGAAATTAGATACACATGCACAGTATATTGTGTGCTCTTGTTTCGATCTATTTATCTTGTGAACTATTGCTCAATTTTTGAATTTTCAAGGAGCCTTTCATAGAAAAGTTTATGTTATGTAATCTGTTAGTCTTTTAACTTCATAAAATATTATTAGAATGGTTTGAATTTTCTTCCACCATTTTGCAGTAAATAGTATTGAAGAAGTTCTTCATTTTGTTTTTTGCGTTTTTCAGAAAATCACTGGTAATGAACTGCAGTACAAAAACCTTGTGGGCAAACCCTGTGAAATCACATACCGCTTCGCCGAACACACTGTGGCAAAGATTGCAAAGCAGATGGGAAACACAAAGCCAATCAAACGACTGTACTTCTTTGGGTAAGCATTTTTTTTAAACCAATCTTTCATTGAGATGATAAGTCTCTTCAAGGATCAAAGAAACTAGAAGGCAAACTATTAAATGGGGGGGGGGGGGGGGGGGGGTACTCTTTAATAATTATAATGAAATATCGGGATGAATAGCATTGACAGAGATCAAACATTTTTAAACTTTACATTTTATTTTATCCTAATTTCTGTTCTTTCAAAAACCTGTTATAGCTTTGTAAAATGATTTTCACGTATGTGAGAAGGTACATTCTGAGTTCGGGAATCAGAGCTGTCAGGAGAATTTCATGGTGTATTTTTAATGTATTATTCTCTAAATTGTGTTAATATTCAATAAAGGATGGTTTCACTTAAAAGAGATGAATTGCTTTGGGGTGGGAAACCAGAAAAAGGGTCTTGGGGAGTATGACTGTACGTATGCTAAAAAAAAAAAAAATTGTTCTCAATGGTATGACGATAGCAAAATAATGATTGATGTGTTACCATAAGAACTCTCCAGTGTTTATCTTGTTAAAAATATTTGTTCCTAATTTTATCACATTGATAAGTATTTGTATTTCATCTTTTTTGCTCATAATTGGTTCTTGTATTAATTTATTGAAAGTAACATTCAAATCTTTCCTTCTACAGTGACAACCCTTCAGTTGATATTGTTGGTGCTAACCTGTATGACCGCTACATCAAGCAAAAGGACACGAATGGAAATGCCTTTGATCTTCCCGTTTCCCGACTGATCCCAGAGAATGAGGACCTGCACGAACAGACCGTCGAATCATGCCACAGTATGCTGGTCGGCACTGGTGTGTACAAACATAAGCCAGAGTCTGACTCCATCAACGGTGGAAGCGAAACATCCACAGACTCCTCAAAGGGAGACGTGTACCACGGTCACAGAGACATCGCCCATGAACCAGAGTTGTCCAAACCTCACCAGTATGTCCATGATGTCCACGAAGGAATTGAGTACATTTTCAGGAAAGAAGGCATTGCTCACTAATGTCTAGTATTTGTTTTTATAGTGTTTTGTACAGATATTTAGAGAGGTTGTCTTGAATGAGGCTAAGAATTGTATAAAATGAATAGTTTATATTGTTCTTGGTAAAGCACAAGATTATTGCACAAAATTAGCGCTGAAAAACAAATGGCAAACTTGTCTGAAAGATGTGTTGACAAATGCGATGTGAAGGTCATGATCTAACGCTGTGATAAAGGAGGGAAATGATGAAGTGCTGTTGTGGATGAAGAGAAGATGTTGACTCTCTGTGTGTGTGTACTTGAGTGCGTGCCTGCCTGCCTGCATCTGTGTGCGTGTGTCTGTAAATGACTGGTGTATGAGCTACAAATATATTGCACAAGTGAATGTTTGTTCTCAGCTTGAGTATGCGTACTGGGGTGTTTAAAAGTAAAATCCATTCCTGCCAAAGATGTTTGATTATTTTGTGCATTCAATGGTAAATGTATGTAATGTGAGCTTGAAGTCTTTTCCAAATTTCGAACATTGCATAGTAGAAAAAGTGTTCAATTCATGAGCATATGTTTTTACAAGTCGTATTCCCATCTTTAAAGATATAAAAAGACTTCTTGTTATTCATGTACTTTAACTTATTCTCTACTTATTGTCATCAAGAACACTCTCAAAATGATAGCTGTGGAGTGGGAAAAGAAGACACAGTAGTAAACAGGTGGTCTTTTGAAATATCAGCTCCTTCATGGATTCAAAGATGAGGAATGGAAGATGGTTCTTGTCAAGGAAAAGATTTTATGCTCACCTTGCAGTCATGCACACATTGCTTTGAATTTGCGACATGTTTTGTGTTTGTAAAAACACAACACTACTGTGTCGACTCAAAAATGGCATTTTCATTTGCATTCTCATTCTGAATGCAAGAAAAGATATTTTATTGAACATAATTGATCATGTCAATGTCACCTTATCTGTCATAATGTGGTGGAAGTCTAGTCGCATATGTCTGTAACTATTCATGCCCTGAATTTGACAATCATTGCATCGTGACATTCGTTGTGCATTCCTTTAGTAAATTAAGAAGGGGGTATTTTTATATTTTTCCTGCGTGGTACATTTTCTTTACTCTCTCAAAGGGTTCTTCTCTCTCTTCTGCAATATAATAAATATAAAATATATTCAACCTTTTTTAGGAGATAGTATTTCAAAGGAGACTCCTGTGAGTAAATCACATTGTAATAAACTGTTGTTTTAGTCAGGACTGAAAGAGACTTTTTGACATAGTTGGACTTGTGATACCCTTTACGTTCAGTACATAATGAGTCTCAGTTTCAGTTGCAGTCCTTCAGCAGTGTACATTCAGAATAGAAAATTGGGATATAATATATAGTTATGGTAGATTTATCTCACAATTGAGTTTTTTTGGGGGGTTTGTTAGTTGTTGGTGTTCTGTTGGGTTGTTGGGGGGAGGGGGGGGCTACTGGTAGCTTGGAGTTGAAGTATAATGTTTGCCATATTCATCATTCTTAGTGAGCAATGTTTGTTCACATTTTAACTTAACTCTGGGCCAATACAGATTTCCCCCAAGTGTGGGATTTACCAGGCTAGTTCATCACGTGCATCAGAATTATTGATCACATGTAAGTGATGGGCTGGAAACCTTAAGGCTTTCACCGAATTTATGGTTGTGTATTATATATTTGTATATATATAGATATATAGAACATGTAAATAAGGGGATACAAGTCATTATATGTACATTATATAATATGAATTTGATAATGTTGACAGTTTTTTTATATATTATATTCTTAATGACATACTTAAAATGAGTTTGATGAATTAAGAAGAGAACCACTACATAAAAGTATGAAAACAAATGGACATGGTGTTTTGTTATCACTTTTCATGTGCTTATCAAATCTTCCCTATTGATCTAGCCTGTAGTTTTTGCTTCCTTTGTCCTCCTTTGTTTGCTCTTTCTATTCCTTCTAGTTAAGACTGCCACACTAGTTTTGCTTCTTTCCTATCGAACGTCTATTGTCCTTTTATCTCTCTTACTCCTTTACTTTATATATGCTACACCACTAATCTGTGGTACTTAATGACCTGCTTGTGTTGCAAGTGCATATATATGTGAAAGTCTTGACTAAAATCAGTCTAATTTTGTTTACTTGTTTTATATTTTGTCTTCTCCTTACTTTATCCTTTATATTGCTTTGTACATACCAGATTTATCGTACTGTGTCTTTCTCAAACTCGTTTCTGACTTTCTTATTTTCATCCTCTTGTTTCTTCGTCTGGGGAGAGGGTTCTGAGTTGTAAGTTTAACTTCACTTTCAACACAATTAGGTCATATGTATAAAATCGCCGCAGATTAGAAGTGTTACTAGAGAGTAACATACAAAGACAAGAAAGATGAGAGGTAAGGGCAAAGACGTTTGAAAGGAATAAGGGAGCAAACCACACCAGAGCACCCGCCAACAACCCACACCTGAGTGATCTGTTCCTTAAAAATTAATCATCACTGAAGTACATCATGTATCTTGGGAGCATATCTCATAGCAGACGCACGTTTTTATTCCGCCTGTGCCGATTGCTAAGCACCTATTTATTATAAGAGTAAGAGAAAGTGAAAGGGCATTTGAATACCAAGGCCCCAAGATCTGGAATGCTTTACCAAGTACTTTGAGAGACATTAAATCTTTTTATTCATTCAAATGTCAGCTGAAGTCGTTTCTGTTTTTAAATTAATAAGATGAATATTTGGAATAATTTTCTTTAGTCAGAACACAACGTTTTATGTTACCGTTGTATGTTGTACTGTATTGTAAAGCGCTCAGAGCCTGTGTACTTTATTTGGGGTTGAGCGCCATATATTAATGTCATTTATAATTATTATAAGAGATGGGTAGACTGGGGGAAACAGGATAACATACCTTTCCCAGGGATACAAAATCCTCTTACATAACAGCGTGGAGAAGCGGGTAGCTGGCCCTACTTATTTTCTTTCCCTTTAGTATTGTTGGGGGGTCTTTTCCTGTCTATCAAGCATGGAATACACCGAGAGAAAACAAATAAGGTGGTTTGTACATCTCATGTACAAATGTAAATGTAACGAGAATGGGAGTCACAACAACCAGTTCCAAGGCCTACAACATGCGCATCGATGGCTTCAAGGCAAATGGAAGGACAAGACAAAAGATGAATTGACGGAGTAAAAAGGAGACCCTCCAAATGAACAGCATAACGACCAAACTGCAATACACATGGCCAACGTCCGAAAAATTGCACATCCCCTCGTATTCTTTTTAACATGTTTATTTTATTTTTATTTTTTTGGTAAGTGTTTTACGACGTTCGCAACTACATAAGGTCATATAACTTATAAGCACGCGGGCACCTAAAATCATTAAACATTTTCAGTTGGTAGGAATTTTTTAATTTTGCCCGGGTGGCTGCCGAAGCCTACTCATCGATTTTGGACCACGAAGGGATCTTCAACGTGCGCAACTTGCACACGGGACCTCATATCTCCTCATACTCGTAGTTTAAGAAAACCCCAAAAAGGGTTTTTTTAAAGATAAAATGGAAAAAAAACGTGTTTCTGTCCGTTTGTCCTGCTTCTTCCATGTACTATGTGATCGACATTGTGTCAACTATGTACTTCTCTGGACACAGGTGTGTGAATTCGAACACAAAATCTGCGAGTCCGAAGCTTTTTAACACTCTTAGACGAATTGTTTCATTTCAAGTTTCTTTTCTCATTTCCAACTTCGGATCTCCCCTGTCCGAAGGAGGTCGATAGCTAACTGGATGTCACACTGGACAACAGTGCCGGTGATCCTGGTTCGAATTTTAAACTTACGTTCTTGATCTTCGTCTGTTGTCTCGAAAGTTTCCACGGCCCTCCTCCACACCCTAAGCGTTGTCCAACCGTAGAGACACACGTTATATTTTTCTTTTTTAAATATTTTATTAGCAAGAGTTTTAAAGCTCTTGCAACACAATAAGGTCATATAAGTGCCGAAGGTTGGGTGTGTTACAAGAGAGTAACAAACATAAAAAAGAAGGAAGAGAGATCAGTTTTAGTTTTAGTAAAAGTTTTACGGCACTTGCAACACAATAAGGTTATATTAGTGCCGAAGAAGAGATGTGTTACAAGATAGTAACATACACAAAAAAGAAGGAGGAGAGATAAGGACGATAGATGTTTTATAGGAAAGAAGGAGCAAACCACACCAGAGCACGCGCCAACCACCCACTCTGTCTGTTTGAGTAACGAAAAGCACATCGATACAGCAGTGGTCATTTAGTGTTGGGATACAAATAAGACGGACAGACAGAAAAATGGAAAGTGAAAAAGTAGGATCTGCCAGTGGCGCCCTTTCACCACCCGCCTGATGGTTAGACTACAATATTACTGTTAACTTATCCTCAAATATCTTTTTAACGGGTGAATCAATGTCACCCATACTTTGCGCAGCAGTTTGCATCAATTTGTCTTTACTTAATCATATTTTTCCACAACAATTGAGGTTAGGTTAAACAACTTTTCTTTATAAATTTATATATAAATCACAGAATTCTACACTTAGTGTAGAATTCTGTGATATAAATACTACAAATCTCCTTCTCGGGGAAAATGTAATTATTGTTCACAGCACTTCCCGCGTTTCACACACATTTTGCGTACGCAATATGGTTTACGTCACAGTTCACCAATGACACTTTTTAGTGGCAAAACTGGTTACAAGTACAATAAATTAACTTTATAGGGAATTTTTTTTTGCGTTAAATGTTCTCAAAACACGCGTCCAATAAAGATAATCTCGCGACTAGAAAAATAATGACGGGCTTGCTTCTACAAGAGGTATTTTCCCAGCTGTAAAACTTCTAAAATCAGTAGAAACCCCCCACTGGGATCTTTTTATTTGTATTAATTTATTAAGGGATTTTTCCAGAATACAGCTAACAGGTGTTTACAAAAATATTGATCTGACAAATTGATACAAGTCACTGTGCAAAAGCTGGAGAGTTTATGTTCGATAGTTGAGGCGATTTTTGACAATAAGTTGCACCACGAATTTTTTACCCCACTATAACTCTTGGTAACGAAAAGTTAATTAATGTATTTTCATTTATTTCTGACAAATTGATACAAGTCACTGTGTAAAAGCTGGAGAGTTTATGTTCGATAGTTGAGGCGATATTTGACAATAAGTTGCACCACGAATTTTTTACCCCACTATAACTCTTGCTAACGAAAAGTTAATTAATTTATTTTCATTTATTTATCCGAGTTTTTTTTTCTTTCTTTTATTTTTTTTTGGGGGGGGGTGATGGGGAGAGTCATGATTTTGTTCTTCAAGTACAAGAAGACTATTATTCGGTCCACTTAAAGACATCAGTGAGAAGTGAGAATCAGAAGCATTGAAAGACAGAAAGTTGTTAAAGGGATACAATCGTTAAAAAACAACAATATTTATAGGCTATCATTAGTTATCTACCCTTATTTTTTTTTTAAGTAAAAGGTTAAGGGACGTAACTGCTGCTGTCATAAAAAGGAACACATTCTAATTATTAATTCCCTTCTGTCACTTCTCAACGTACTCTTAACGTTAAGACGGTAGGCAGTGACGAAATGTTGTGTGCCTGTTGTTGTTTTTTTAAGAAAATGAAAGACATTAGCTACTTGCGAATGATGTGAAATCTTTACAGTGCAAGCAGTAAGAGTAGACTAAAAAAAATTTTTCGTTAAAATGCAGAAGATTAGAGGCGTTACAAGATTAACGAAAACACGCAAAAAAAGAAGAGATAACTTCGATTGTTTAAGTAAGTGTTTCACGGCACTTGCAATACAATAAGGTCATATAAGTGCCGAAGAATAGAGGTGTTACAAGAGAGTAACAAACACAAAAAGGAGGGGGGGGGGATAAGGACGACAGATGTTGGATAGGAAAGAAGGAGCAAACCACACCAAAGCACCCGCCAACCACCCACCATCTGCATGTCATGGCAAAGTGCCTAATCGCTATACCACAGACGCAGGTCCACTAAGGTTTGACCCTTCAACTTCCATGTTTGGGTCAAGTTGAAACAACAGCTGACCTTAAGCTGGCCACAGGAATATGCATGACAAATAATATAGTAATTGAATGCATTTAAGAAATAACGACTCACCCTACAGATGGGTGTGAAGAAGGTGTGAGAAAGAATGTGTGTGAGTGTGCCTGCACGCTTGCGAATGTATGTGTGTGTATGTGTGTGTGTGTTTGTAAGTGTGTGTGTGGGGGGGGGGGGGTTGTTGGGGGGGGGGGTTCTGTAAGTGTTTTACGGCACTCGCAACTGCATAAGGTCATATATGAGCGCGCGGGACACACCAAACATTTTCAATTGATAGGAAATTTTTAATTTTGCTCGGGTGGCGGCCGAAGCCTACTCTTATCGATTTTGGACCATCAAGGGATCTTTAATGTGCGCAACTAGCACACGGGACCTCCGAGTTTTTTCGTCCTTGCCCGGGAAGGCTAGGTGTAGATCTCTCCTACCAGAAGATCAAGGGTTTGGCTGAAAGACAGCAGTAAGAAGGAGCCAAGGAGTAGCAGTAGAAAAGCTGCAGAAAGAGTCAGGAGCCCAGTGGAGGGGGCAAAGGAGATGAGGGTAGGGGAAGAAAGTGGAGACGAAAGTAGACGACAGAATATAGCAAGAGAGAAGGAAAGAAGGTGAAAGGCGACCACTTTTAGAGAAGAAAATCTTTCGGTCGCTACCCGGATTCCAACCCGGGACCTTTGAATGAGCGGCGGACACCTTAACCTCTAACCTCTAGGCCACTAGAGCCCCCCCCCCCCCCGTGTGTGTGTGTGTGTGTGTGTGTGTGTG